GCCCGACCCCCCTCCCCGATCCCCCCGACCCAGGTGCTTCCAGTGGACGGCGGCGGCTCCTCTACTCAGCCTGAGCGTCATAGTTGGCGCCGCCTGCCTTCTTCAGCTCCTTGCGCAGGTAGTCTTCTTCCAGTTCTCGTGGGTCGCTGATCATGAACTCCTTGGCAAAGTTCTGCAGAGACAAAAATAAAAATATCAACAGTCTGCTGTGGTTTAGTTTAATTTATTAGCTTTATAAACACATTGGGCAGCAGTATCCTTCTTTAATTTTAGCCTTCCTTAATGACTTCCTTCCAGTGCACCGATCCAACAAACTGTTTTGTTCTGCTGCTAATTCGCCCAGCGACCAGTTTCCTCCCTGAAGGAACCATTATTTTAATTGCTGCTGTTCCCAGGTGTCTCTGACCTGCACCACGTCTTTGACCAGCGTCTTGTCGGTGCTGATCTTGGCCCGCTGCAGCCCGCTGATGCTCTCTCCGATCCAGGTGATGAGCGTGAACTTGGCCCGTTTGCTCATGGCGTCTCCCGTCGTGAATCGGATGAAGCCGAAGAGACGGGAGTCATCTGAAGGGAGGGGAGGGAGAAACCACTGGGTAAATGTCGTGTGGGATCATAGTTACAGCTCTAAGGAAGAAGCATTCTCGTTTGTTAAGCTGTGAGGTTTGTATAAACAGGAAGTGTTGGGGTCAGTAGGCTCCAAGATGAAACCTTTCCTGATGTTTGCAGTCGTGCCACACGTCTCCAGTGACCACGCCTGTCACACACCCTGAGAATAACATCTGAAAACAAATGCCTTTGTATTTGTCTGGCTCTCACTTCAAGTCCAGTTTCGTTTAAAATAACGTTAGCAAATAAAGAATAAAGCTGGGTACGGTAAAGTAAAGCTCAACGTCTTTACTTGTTGAATCCTAAATTCGAAGTACAGTCAGGTTGGATTCTAAAAAGCCAACTGAAAAAAAACACGACTGAATTTAAAAATCCAAAATGACATTTTATTTATGATGTCTCTTCTCACAAATAAAATGACCAGTATTTGAGACTGAAACTGGGTCCAACGAGTCTCATCCCTTCAGGTTTGAGATTTGAAAGCATCACTAAAACAATACAGACCATTAATGTTTGTATTTGTTGCTCCACAAATTGGAGTATGATCTCTGCCGCTCATGTCAGGTCTTTCTCCTTAAGGCCCGTCACACTATGATGTTTGAGACAACTTACTTATTAAAGGTTTGGTGACATCTCAGTGGAAGATGGAATTTTAAAAAATGAACTGGAAGCCTCTTTTAGGCGTGTACGTACTGTAATGCTAACAAATTGATCAAATCCCTAACTTTTATTTGTAATTTACTGGATTTTTTTTTCACAAGTTGTTTAAAACATTATATTGTGACAGGACCTTTAGCAGAGCAGTGACTGTGCAGGTTCACAGACAAATCTGCTATTGTGTTAGCCGCTAAAAGCTGATAAATATCTGAGCCATTATGTTGGTTTGCGAGAATTACCAGAAGATCCCAACAGACTCGGTTTTAAAGCTGTTAAAGCAGCTCATTTCTGTACCTCCTTTTACGACAGGCTAAAGATTTGTGTGTTTAATCGGAGTAAAAAAAGCTGCAGACTTTTTGTGAGCTCATAAACAATACAACTTTTTCTTTACATTTGCACAACAGAAGTGGCAGAAGTGGAAGCACAAAGTCAACTGGACCAATAATAAAAAAAGAGAACACGTTTATTTTTTATGACCAAATTTCCTCTTCTCACTTTTACCTAATATAGTCCTACCTTTTGTTCTTTTACTAGATATTTCACAAATATCTATGCAACAAGATTATCTACATTAAAAAAGGGAAAAATGTTTTATTCTATCGTTTATTTAAATTTGAATGTTTGAAAGAATCCGCCACACTTTTGAAGATGATAAGCACATTGTAGCATTTCAAGTACTTGTATTCACTTCTGTACTTTGGCCAAAATTAAGAATATATTAGAGAATCGATAAATAATGTAATAATTAATCCCATATCTATAGCTGGTAGAACCTGTGTTATCAGTTTAAGATATTCCCGGCAGCAGGGCTGACCGCAGCAGGAACTAACTGGTCTTATCAGTTTTAGCTCCTCGTCACATCCAGAGTGACCTGACTGGATCGAATCAATCACTGAAGCTCAGTGTGAGTTACCGTCTTCATTCCAAAGTGACAGGAATTTATTGTTCAACGCACTCGTCGTCCCGCTGCTTTTTCCTAAGAGCCTGAGCTGGCAGAGAGGAACGTGATGCAACAGAAATCCTGAGCTACAGCTCCACCACACCTCCACACTTCCTCCCTCCGCCAGACTCTTCCTGCTTCATCTTAACCTCTGAATTCATGCTGACTCTGCAGCYGACCTCCCCTCTGCTGCAGAGAAAACTGCACAGATGAGGCAGCAAAATAAAAAAATAAAAAAGGTGGTTTGCATAAACTGACTTCTAAAACCAAAGGTTGTCTGGGCGACATGCCCCTCAGCCCACACCAGGAAACCAGAACCGTCTCCAGTGGGCGGCTCTGAGAGGTGTGGTGTAATCGAAGCATTCACTTTATCCAAAGTTTTAGGATGATAAAGTCTAATCAGTTGACTTGAATCACTTTTATATTACAGCAACAAAATCCTCTTTATGCTAGTATTACTCCATTCTTGACGTGCTTCCAGGCTGCCTCAAATATTTTAAAACAGAAATTATGCAAGCAATACTTACAGATAAAGCCTTCATTCATTTATGCACCATAACCCCAGCCTTAGCTCTAAATATAACCATTACCCCAACACATTTAAGCCCTTAACCTAACCTCAAATGGCCTTTTTATAAAAGATAACGTTAATAATGTGGCTAAAAATCAAAGACAATCTTAACTTAATTAAACATGTACTTATAACGCCTAAAAAATTATGTACATTTAAACGTGAAAGAACAGTTTTGCCTAAAAATAAACTTAATTGCGGTGTGTGGCAGCTGCTGCTGCATCTTCATTTTCCTATTTGGTAATATTTGGTAAATGACCCAGGTCCATTTTGCAAATGAGATCTCGATCTCAGTGGGGCTTTAAATAAAGAAAGTGAAATTTTACTGATTAAATCTGCACAATCATTTTATGTTTATAAAACCTTTAACCTCCCAAGACAAAATACTTAACTGAATTAATCTGACAGTTTTATGACCTATAATAGTTTCTGTTTTTTTTAATTAGAAAGAGGAATTAAAATGCATCAACTTGTATTTTAACTTGCTTTAGCTGGATAAAATAAGAATCAGTATCCTCAAGTTCTTCTATTCTGTAATTACTTAACTTCTACTCTGCCATCAGCACCGCCTACACTCGTTTTTTTTCTTCTTCTGCAGTGTCAAAGCTTCACTGCTAAATAAGGAAAAGAAGCGTGTGTCATCTCTGAACAGGAACCAAAGCATGAAGCGTTCTGATACGGAGTTGTTTCAACATAGGAATGTGAGCTCAGAGATGTCAGAAAGAACAAAAAAATCTACAGGAGGGGAGCCCCGAGGCCGCAGGCTTTAAAGTTATAATGTGAGCCTGTATCAGAACCAGCCCCACCCAACATCAGAACAGATGTTTTACTCCAAGAAGGGAACTTCCATCTGAGAGCTTTAAAACCGGAATTCAAAAGGGTCTTTTTTTCTGCAAAAAAACTTTAAAATTTTGACTAGTTGAACAAGAAAACTTCAAGTTTACAACTTTAAGTATTTGATATCTGTTTGATCTAGTGGTTAAATGCTTTGAAAGCATCAAAGTAAAAGCATCCAGAGACACTTTGAAGACAAATACCAACTCTTTACCTGTGCATAACTTCTTGAAGTCCTCGTAGTCAGTCCCCTGTCCTGCAGGCACGATTGTGGTGCCTTCATATTTAAAAGCAGCCCTGCAGGAAACACAAACCTTTAATGACACCACAGCTCATCATGAGTTCAGTCACTAAAGTTGGCTTTATGTGCAAACAGAGCAGCCATCTGAAACAATGCAGAAAATGCCTCAACCCCCCCCTCCAGACACAAAGCAGCTGCTGTGTTCCTCCACAATGAATTCGGGACAAAGTAAATTATCTCCTCATAACTGCATGTGTGTGACCACTAAACAGCCAGAAAACAGATCAGTCACGATCAGGAGAACCAAATCTGCGGATTAGAGTCGATATGGCTGAAATCACGGGTATTAAAAGGATGAAGGAACAATTCATTGTCCAAGAGGGAGCAGGTGCCGCTGAATTATACTGCATAGCAGTTTCAAATTTACTAAAAGAATAAGTGCATCTAAAAATACATTTCATCCCATTTAATTACTTTACAATAACCAATCATTCATTCGGCATATGTCACACCGATCAGGTCACTCTTGTTTTTAAAAAACACCTCTTTTTTACTGAAAATATTGCGCAGAGGGCGTTAACATTAATTCAGTCCAAAACTCTGGTTTTTATCAAAACCTTAACAGATATTTGTACTATTACACCGCCGAACTATAAAATACCCTGTAAGGATTACGTTTCAAGAGGATTTTATAATTAAGGCACGTTTCCGTTTGCGAATAATCAAGAGTATTTAAAAATTGTCGATTTTTTTAACGGAGCACACTTACCAGTTGGTTTCTGTGTTATCGTCCCTTACATCGTTGTAAGCCTCTCTGCAAGCCTCTTTGTCGATCTGGGTTGCCATTTCTCAGCTGGACAGGAGTTGAAGTTAAAAGTGAAAGAGTCCAAAAACAAAAYTGACAATTTTACAGTGTTTCAATAAAAATCAGCAGCTAACTTGACGGGATGATGGTGCACATCAGACGACGTTCAATGGCTCCGGTACAAAAAAAATCACGACCACGGTACTGAAGCAGCTGACCCGGCGGGACTTAACGGGAGAAGAAGGTTCTTCGAGTTAAAATTCGGTTCATTTCCTGGATCTTTGGGCTTTAAGGGCGTTGGTGATGTTAGTCAATCAGGTTGCAAGAGCAGACAGTGAAGTTCCTCCCCAGACGCTGAGCTCGCCTCCTCCTGGTCGCCGTTCTCTGCGACGGGCCGCCGCCGCTGTCAGAATAGCGGAACTGAGTAAATACCATTTCCGGGATGGTCTTTCAAAATAAAACACAAAGTTGGCATTAAACTTCACTGGGGTCTGCAACTACAGCCAGTCTCGTTTCTTCCCAGGTAACTAAAACATGCTTCTTAAAAAGGCCCAAAGTTTGTAACATTCATTCAAATACTTGAGAAAAAAAGCATTTGAGTATAAATAGAAACATAAACTTATTAAAGGTTATTACAATCTAAATATTATTGCACATACACTTCATGCAATTTTATTTTCTTATTTAAATCCAAATGTGTAAGCATTTATTCAATTCAATTCAATTCAAAATACTTTATTGATCCCAGAGGGAAATTAGGTATGTTTATATTCAATTTACAATTCTGACAAATTGCAATAAACCTTTACAAGGCAAAACACACTTTCATGCTGAAGTGCCAATCCCSCTTTTGGTTAACTTTATTTTATGAAGTTTGTCAAGCATAAAATGTCTTCCTAATTCTAAACTGCTATTTATTAATAAAAGATCTGCTGAGACTAAAGACAGCAAACTTAAGAAAAATAAAATACAAATTAGACACGAGCCTTTAAATGCGTGATATGTCAGGAAAAGTACTATTCTGAAGGGAACGCAATCAGTTTCCGGTTGCTTTTTAATTACATTGCGCGACTTTACAAAGCATCTGCAATTTAATCTTAATTCGTCTGTGATGGTTACCATGTAATTTCTGTTATCAACAACAGGTAGAAGACTGTCATGACGGATGAAATTCATATGAGTGGAATATGTCAATTAGAGGTGGGGCTTATCAAATCTGTGAAGTTTGAAGATAGGGATATAGAAAGGTCAGAGGTTGTATACATATGTTTTTATTGGGGGTGGGGTATCTTCATCAACACCTTAGACAATGATGTGTACCCAGACGACCAAGTTTTTTTGTTTGTTTGTTTTTTAAAGCACTACAATCTACCAAATGCTAAACTTTTACTGACTTGTCTGCTGATACAACATCATTACACTGCTGCCACCTGCTGGTCCATCGAGTTCATCGACACCCACCAAAGCAGCCTACCTGTTTGTCTGTCTCTCAAAATTTACATTTGTAAACCCGGTAACACGTGATTCACTTAGGGACCGCCCATATCCGGTTAAATGTCCGATTAAAATATTTGACTTCAAAATAAAACATTAAAATAAATGTAAAAATTTGGGTTTAAATTATAGGCTGTTAAAAAGAAAACATTTACTGATATTTTTACTTTTATTATTAAATTCTTTGACTCAGTGGTTTTATTTGGGTTAAAAGCGAAATTCCAACCTTCAAATTCACACGCAAAACCATTTATTCTGAAAGTCCAAACAGGAAGTAGTTTTTTTTTTACCAAACCGCTGAACAAGCTAATGTTATGCTACATGGTTCATGTGTTTCTGTTGTCTAATAAACTGAGGATAAAGCATTTTAAATCAGTAACAGCGACATTTTTGAAGTGTAGTTTACTCGAATATATACGGTTTTTGTCGTCGTTAAAAATCTTTGCGTTTTAGGATTTTTTTTTCTTTTCTGTATCACTATAACCTGCGGTCAGACTAGGATGTTCTCAAGTACCATCTGAGCAGCTACAAGTAAGGTTTTTTAAAGGTTAGAATCTGGAATCGAAAAAATTTAGAGTGTTTGATGAATTATCTGATTTCTTATCTTACAGAGTTAAAAACAATCAAGGCAATATTATGTTACTTTTTCTGACTTATAAGATGTGACCATGAGTTTTGTGTAACGAGACAAGAAAATATTTATTTTAATTGATTCATAATTACAAACATTAGAGTACAGTGAGAAACTCCTCAAACAACAACTAACTAAAATGTTAGTGTTYATCTAACAAATTGGGTCAACAGACACCAACTGTTAGGTAATAATTTGGTCCTTTAAAKAAGGTTCAAGGTCATGTCTTCAGCTCCAGTAGTTTCTCACATTTACCTGTCAGGTAAAAGTCAGAGTTCTTACTGTGTGTTTGTGTGTSTGTTTTAGATGGTGTCTGTCTGAGGGAACAGGATGGACAAGCCCAGCCGTGTGTGTAGACCCCAGAGGGTTAGTGAATCCTCCAAGGTTAGTATGTTTGTTCGGCTTAAGCTGAAATTAAACTGCTTTGACCTCATTTTGCCACAAAATAAAGCATTTAAACTTTGTATTCAAGAATCTACAGGCAGTAAAAATCACAAATTTGCTGAAACAAATGAGAGCAATGAGCACGACTGAAATATAGTCACAGATTAATTGRTTAGAGAACTGTAGACTTGTTTCCTTCTTGCTAGATGTTTTCAGATTACGTAGAACTTATAAAGCCAGATGTTTAGGAGTTGAGTCAGTGTGTTTGGGATTCTTTATTGGCAGATTTTCTACTCAGATCACCAGGCTGTGGAGGTGCTGCAGGGCTTCAATGAGCAGCGGCAGCAGAACCGGTTCTGCGATGTGGTCCTGGTCGCCGATGACCAGCGGATCCCGGCTCACCGAGCCCTGCTGGCCATTTCCAGCCCCTACTTCCACGCTATGTTCACCTTGGGCATGAGGGAGGAGCATCAGCAGGAGGTATGCAGGAGCAATTATAGCATTTTAAACAATGAAAGGATTTTTAAAAGTCCCATAACTATGGGTATTATGTAACTTGGTGTGTATTCTTGTTGCAGGTGGAGCTGGTTGGGATRTCTCATGTAGGGCTGAAAGCTGTGGTGGACTTCCTGTACAGTGGAGAGCTGTTTTTAGATGGAGGAACCATCGACTGTGTGCTGGAAGCTGCACACCTTCTGCAGGTAAGAAACTGAAGGTTAAATGTGAAGACAAACAGATTTAACTTGTAACTGAGCACTATTTATTTATTTCGGATTGATTGCAGCCACCGAGTCAGAGCTTGTATAAAAACATAGCTGTCCTGTGACCGATGACGTACAAAGCTTCATCACTGTTTCATCTGGTCAAAAATGGTTTTAAGCTTTTCATTGGCTCAGAGCGTTTAAAATCAAGTTTTCTGAATGATTTATTTATTTATTTATTTATTTATTTGGCCTCCATGGTTTGTTCTATTATGTAATGATGATGTAATCATTATTTAGCATAACAAAAGTATCAGCAGATTAAAATTTCTGAGCTTCTGCGGGGTTGAAACAGAGTCAGTGCTTCAGTTGGCCACCAGGTGTCGCTGTTGTCGCTCAGACTGAAGCTTGAAGCTTTTTCTGCACAATAAAGGGGATGAGGCTTCACCTGATTTACTTTTAAAGAAAGAAAATATTAAAAAGCTAAAAATGTGAAAAATGTCCAGATTGAATTTTTTTTGTTATAATAAAATTTAACATTTAAATGGTTTAAAAACTGCCAAAGTCCAAATAAAATGTTTTTAAAGACTTCATAAATCTTGGAATTATATTGTATAATCTTGTCTCATCAAGTCTCACTCTGAGTGATTAAAAATAAAGAAATGATAGATGACTCTAATCTTTTTTGTGCACTCCAGCTGTGGCGAGTTGTGGACTTCTGCTGTCAGTACCTGGAGCGGGAGGTGAACGAGGAGAACTACCTGCACCTCCAGAAACTGGCTCAGGTCTACAGTCTGGAGCGACTCGATATCTTCATCGACCACTTCATCCTCGCGCGCTTCTCCACGCTCTCCTTCACTCCGGGCTTTCTTCAAAATATCCCGATGCACAAACTCACCTCCTACCTCTCGTGTGGCCAGGTAAGACCTCCGTGTTGTTTGGACAGTAATTGTGATAATTTATTAGTCAGACTTAAATAAGCAGCTGCTGTTGTTATTCCTCAGGTTCAGCACGACTCTGAGCAGGCTCTCCTGCAGGCCAGCCTGCAGTGGCTCAGTCACAGCCCCGAGCGGACCTCCGGCGCCAAACAGCTGCTCTCCCACATCCGGTTCCCGCTCATGCCGGTGGGGGACCTCGTGAGCCGAGTGCTGCCGGCGGTACGAGCTCTGGTGCCGGAAGGAGCCGGCTGCGAGGCCCTGGTGGAGGAGGCTCTKGGGTACCACGCCAAGCTGAGCGCCCAACCGCTGCTCCAAACTGAACGGACCAGGCTGAGGGGGGGAGTGGAGCAGCTGCTGCTCATCGGAGGAGAGGTACAGATTCATGCTGATTGTTATAGTTACAGCAGCTTTGCACTCAGAATATTTTAAAGGAATACTTTTGACTTGAAGCTCACCGTCTCCCCTTCTTTCTGCACGTCAAGGTGTTTGAGCGCGGGGAGGAGTTGAGCAGCACCGTTTGTTGGCTCGACAGCGAGACGGGAAGCTGGGAGCTGGAGACGGAGCTGCCAGTGCAGCGGAGCCACCACTGCTTGGCCGTACTGGGGGGCTTCATTTTTGCTGCTGGCGGCAGCTCGTCGAGAGACAACGGAGGAGATGCTGCCTGTAACCTGCTGTACAGATACGACCCGCGCCACCATCAGTGGACCAAGGTGAACGAAGAGTCTTTTATTTTCCTGCATATTTTACTTGTTTCCCTGATCCAGGATGCATGATTTGATTATTAAATCACCTCTTCATGTTCTGCAGAAGCCTGTAATCACCCATGTGTTCAATTCAGGTGTTTTGGAGCAAAGAAACATTTAAATCCTGCAGGACACTGATCCTCTAGGACTGGTGTTTATCTGCTTACTTTGTGTCTTATGATGGTGTGTGATGTGTTTCAGGGCGCTCCAATGAACCAGAAGAGAGTTGACTTTTACCTGGGGGCTGTGGGAGACCGCCTCATTGCAGTGGGAGGGAATAACGGCAACGGAGCGTTGTGCTCTGTGGAGGTTTATTATCCTGAAGAGGACTGCTGGAGCTACGTGGCACAACTACCCAGGTAAAGATGTGTTACATCACTGTGTCTGCAACTCATTTAGTCCTTTATAGATCTCCATGTGGCCCTGTGAAGGACTTGAGACCTGTTCAGGGTGTTCCCGGCCCCTCACACAGCGACTGCTGGATATGGGCATCAGCGACCCTGAAAGGGAGAAGCAGGCATAAATAATGGATGGATTAATGGATATATTTTGAAGTTTGAGATATTTATTCCAGATTTCATCAAAGCTTCATCATCTTCAAGCAGGTTTGTGAATTCTGTCTTCCAAAGGTTTACTTTCGGCCACGCCGGCACGGTCCACCAAGGCGTCGTCTACATCTCAGGTGGTCACAACTACCAGATCGGTCCTTACCGCCCAGATGTCCTGAGTTATGACCCGTCGCGGGACGGTGAGGTTTGGGTGGAACGCCAGCCCATGTCCCTCGCCCGCGGCTGGCACAGCATGGCCTCCCTCAACAACCTCATCTACGCCATCGGCGGCAGCGACGATCACGCGGACACCTCCGAGCGCTTCGACATCCTGCACGTGGAGTCCTACGACCCGCGATGCGGCCAGTGGACTCAGGTGGCGCCGCTGCTGCTGCCCAACAGCGAGGCGGGGCTGGCGGTCTGGGCGGGGAAGATCTACGTGCTCGGAGGCTACAGCTGGGAGAGCATGGCATTCTCCAGAGTCACCCAGGTATATGACGCCGAGAAGGGGTCGTGGTCCAGAGGGCCGGACCTGCCCAAACGCATCGCGGGGGCGTCGGCGTGCGTTTGCACCGTGAAGCCCTCGCCTCAGTCGGCTTCGCCAGAGAAAAGGAAACTGGGGCATGTGGCAAACGGAAGATTACAGCCCACGTAGCAGGAAGGACCGAGACCTTCCACTTTTAAAAAACTCTGGACGTCCTCGTCAGGATGGATTTTTTTACGCCCAACACAGAGAAGAAAAGACCAAATAACAAAATTTATTTGCCTTAAAAAAATCACTTGTTACAGGTTGGAGGACTAAATGTGATATTTTATGTTCTGCATGTACAGTTAGGTCATTTTTTATTTGAAACTTAAAATATATTTTAATATTTGGGTTCTTGTACACGTTTAGGTGATTTTAAAAGAAGAACACTCGTGTTTTTATGACCTGTGTCACAGCTGCACACACTCGCCTCATCAGCTGGATCCACAGAATCGACTCATTGACTCACACTTCAGCTTCCCCCATTATAATCCCCATCAGCACTTTAATTAGCACAATTTATAATAAATAAAAAAACATTTAAATGACAGGACGGCTATTAACCTAAAAATGTCAAAATGTCAGACTGCTAATGAGTGACGTTTCTCTTTTTTTTTTTTGTCTTTTTATATCAAATATTGAATCAAATAAAACAAAAGGTCTGTTAAATTGCTTTAAGTTTAACAGGACAGGCCTAAAAATGCATAGAAGTAAAAGTTTTGCACAAATACATATAAAATTGCTAAAATTCAGAAGAAGCAGCCGCTCTCACAGATGTGAAATGGCTTCACGGAGACAAAAGAGCAAAAATAAAAACAGAGTTCACTGTTTCCTGATWAATAGATAAAAACTTGACTTTCATTTAAAGCTTATTATGATTCAGAGCTACGTATGTGATTTATTTGTTTTAAAGGCCATTTATGTGAACAGATTTTTTACCAAAGAAAGTGTTATGTTAATTTTTTTATTATAAAATCAAAAAATCAACTTTCAATTAAAGACAGCTCACTTGTATTCACAGATATTTTGATTTTTTGTTCACATTTCATCAGATTTACGGTAGTAAACAGTTTGACGTTTTCACGTCCAGTTCCTTCTTCTGACTCACTCAAAGGGGTAGTACGGGTGAGACTTGATCCTGGAAAACAAAAACAACACAATGTAGAAAACATCAACGTTTAAGAGGCTSACATCATCAAACCTGGTTTATTGTGACGCACTCGTCAATCAAGCAGGACTTCCATCCTCGGTCCAGATCCCTCAGTGTGTTCATGTCTTCGTCAGTCAGGCTGAAGTCAAAGATCTGGACAGAAAACAGAAACGCATCAGCAGCAGGGCTTTAGGAGACAGATTTCTCTCCTTGCTTCAACATAAAGTGTCTTTGGACGGAGATATTTTTGGTGTGAAGACGTTTCACCTTCGTGTTTTCAAGGATGTGATGAGGCTTGTCACTTTTAGGAATGACTGCAACTCCCTGCTGCACGTGATACCTGAGCAGCACCTGGGGGAGGGCAGGAAGGTCCAGTCACAAACAGTTTTAACGTAACTAAGTACAAATACTTTGTTACGGTACTTAAGTAGAAATTTTGGTTATCTGTACTTTTTTTTTCGGCCTACATTTTACTTTTACTTTTTACATTTTCACACAGTTATTTGTACTTTGTACTCCCTACATTTTTAGAAAAGGTAAGAAGTAGTAGCAGGACATATCAAACATATGTTGCTTAGTATGAAAAGAATATATTTTTTATTTTTAGATATATATGCAACTGAAACGGCTAGACTGTTGTATCATAAATTATTTAACATTAACATAATATTTCATTATAGTCATTATGAACTTAGGAAAATCTTACCACCCACTTTTACTCAATACTTTTAATACTTAAGAACATTTTATGTCAAGAAATTTACTTTTATACTTTTAAGACTTTTACTCAAGTAGTATTCTTAGGGGAGACTTTAACTTTTACCAAAGTAATTTTACGGTAACATACTTGTACTTGGACTCAACTATCACTTTGAGGTACTTTACACCAGTGTTTCCCAAAGTTAGGGTCGGGACCCAAAGTGGGGTCCCAAAACATCAAGGTGGGGTCCTGAAAAAATTTTTCTGAATTAATTACATTTTTGCCTTAGTTGTTACAAAGGAGTGAGGTTAGTGTATTTAAAATTGATAAATGTAGTATAAAAATATTGTTACTATGGCCATGTTTTGTTGACCTGATACAAATGTTTATCATCCAAAAATAGTTGGGGCCACAGGTCTCTGCCACTGTTATTTTGTGGGTCAAAAGCTGAAAAGTTTGGGAACCACTGCACTTTGGTTCCCAAAATTGGGCTTGGAATGGGTCATGAAGCACCTTGGATAATTTCCAGAAATCAATTTAAAGGGCAATAAAATAATTGCTGATGTAACATTTCCCCTATAATTATTACAAAAACACAAAATAATTATAAATAAGTATTTATATTTGTGTACAAGCTGTTTAGATTGTCCAAAATCCTGTATTTTTAGGGTTATTTAAGAAGTTCGTGTACTCAGACCAGTAATATTTGGGGTCACAAGTTTTTGCCATGGATATTTTGTGGGTCAGAAGATAAAAAGTTTGGGAACCACTGGTTTACACAACACTGCAAATGAGAAAACTTAAAAACCAGCACAGCTCACAAACCGACTCACCTGTGCAGGGCTGCGTTTGTGTTTCCGGGCTACTTCAGCAACAAYGGGGTCTTCCAGGAGCTTGTAGGGATCGGTGTCTCCTAAAATCCTACAGCAGACAGAACCAGAACCGGTTGTTAAAACAGATCGTCAAGGTGGGGTTTCTGAGATTTGTGGCTGAGCTTTAAGAGGTCAGCAGTGATGCTGTCTTACAGCTCAGGGGGTCTTCCTGGCGAACCAAAGGGGCTGTAGGCCGTCAGCGCGATGTTTTTGGATTTACAGAACTCTATCATGTCTGTTTGGACCGTGTAAGGATGCAGCTCCACCTAAAAGAGACAGAAGAAATGAAGTAAGAAAAACACTTTTTAAACACAAGAATCAGTAAAATATCTCAGTTATTCTGAACCTCGTCTGTCCGGTTCTGACTGTGTGAGAGGAAATAAAAGGCACCTGATTGACAGCAGGGGCCACTCGGCACAGAGCCATCAGCCTCTCCAGCTGCAGGATGCTGAAATTAGAAACACCGATACTTTTCACCTTCCCTGAGGCCTGCAGGGCCTCCATGCCCTGCAAACAACAACAACAGTAAACAACAACAAACTCATCTTAAAGAGACAAAAATTACTGGTTTCATTAAACCTTTCTTACCCTCCAAACATCAACATAATCCACATCAGAGGTCAGAATCTTTCCATCCTTTCTGGGAAAAAGCTCGTCGCCCATTTTCTGTCAGAAAAATTCAACCGTTTAATATAAAAACAATCTTTGACGCTTAGTTTTGTCAGATTGTGTTGATGACAAAAACCTTTAAGCCGACAGGGAAATGCACAAGATAAAGGTCCAGGTAGTCCAGCTGGAGATCCTTCAGGGACTGATTCAGACACAGGGGGATGTCCTCTGGCTCATAATGAGTGGACCACAGCTGAAGACATGAACACGAGAGGACAGCATGAGTCTGGACACATACAGGAAGACAGTCTGTTTAAAACATATTTATCCTTCCTGCTTCCTCACCTTGCTGAYGATGAACATGTCTTCACGCCGGATGATGCCCTGATCCATCTTGGAGCGCAGAGCTTTGCCGATGTCCACCTCGTTCTTGTAGCAGAAGGCCGTATCGATGTGGCGGTAACCTGCAGCTATGGCTGCCTCCACCGCGCCCTGGACCGAGGTCCCCTGGACATGAGACGCCTGGGACGAGAGAGATGAAAGGTCAAAGGTCAACAACTGAGCCAAGAGATGAGGTCAGAGGAGATGAAAGGTCAAAGGTCAACAAACTAGTTCAGGTTTCCTTTGATAAAACACAACTGAATGACTTCACTTAAATATGAGGCTGAAACTGAGCTGTTASTAAAAACAGAACACAAGCTAAAAAATGCTAAATGCTTGCAATTAGCAAAACACAAGCTAATAAGCTAAAAATACCAAGGGGCTAGGTAAAAGCAAAAAAAAAAAAAGATTTGCTAAGAGTGGCGACAGGCTAGGTATATGCTGAAACTACCAAAAATGCTATCTTAAAGTTTAAATTAGCAAAATACCAGATCAGCAACTAAAAGCTAAAAATTACACAACGGTAGGTAAAAATAGAAGCTGGATAAAAACTCAAATTTAGCCCAAAGCTTGCTAGAAGCCAAAAAATAAAAAGTAGCTAAAATCTAAAAATAGCAGGAGCTACTGTAAGAGCTAAAAGGAGAAAAAAGCTAGCTAAAAGCAAAGGCTAGCTTGAAGCTAAAAATAGCAGATCAGCAGCTTAAAAAAAGCAGATTGATAGCTAAAAGGTACAAGTTGCAAAGGGCTAACTAAAAGTACTATTAAAGACTAAAATGGGGCCAGTTTGCAGATTTCAAAGAGAACAATCTTTTGAAGGAACTGCAGGTTTCAGGTTGCTGCAGTTGGAGACACTTTGCATAATAACTTGTCATTTATTTTAATTTTGAATGAAAAGCTTCAAGCTGAATAACTGGTCCTGCAGAAACATTCAGCTAAAGAGAAATTGAATATATGTACAGCATTTATTTATAAATGGCAAAAAGTTATCCAAGCTTTAAAAACACTCAAGTTTTAGTCCTCCTCATGACTTCCTCTGTCTTCACCTGATTCAGGAATAAAAAGCTTCGACCAATCAGATGTCAGATTTGTGGTCACCTGCAAAAGCACCTCCTTGATCAGCAGAAACACAAAAGTCTGATCACATAATGCTTCATACTTTGAATAAAAAGCACACATCTGCAACAATCGTCAAAGCTAAAATACTCCAGTTTCTGCAGGTGTTTGAAGTTTACCTTCCACGTCCCGAGGCCCAGAAGAGGCATACGTGCTCCGTCTCTCAGCGTTACGTGTCTGATCACCGGCGTGTCCTCCATCGAGAACATTTTAGACACAACAGAAGAGAAAAAACACAAACAACAAGTGCAGAACAAGCTGTTACAGCACTCTTCTTCCTCTTTTTCCTCCTCGACTGTTTCTGCTGTGTCAACGTGTTTCCGTTTTCCTCTGCTGATTTGATGCGTTTCTCTTCACCTCTGACTCAGTTTCTTTTCACAGACTCAGGATTCATTTTTGTTCCTTTCCTTATCTCTGTATAAGTTAATTATTGTACAAGTACTTGACTTTCATGTAGTATTTATTTATGAGTAAACTGGGAGTGAGCATGGGTTTCAAAGGTCACCTTTTCTCATAAAGGTAGCAGAGAGCGCACACACATACTTTTGTTCTAGAACCACTTGAGGACCTTCCATTGACTTCCATTCATTTTTTTAGACTTTATAGCCTAACCCTGACACACACACACACACACACACACACACACACACACACACACACACACACACACACACACACACAC